TTTTCTTTGGCAACAAGGAGGTATTAAAAGTGTGTAGATGAGACAATAAGGCATGAAAGTTAGCTAGCAGCTATTTCTTTGGGGCCAACGTGTCATCTGATGAAATACGTTACATTGGCGTGGCATTTTTTTATTAAAATTGGCAGATATAGTTGACTTCGATCATTCCATTAAAAATAGGGAAAATATTCAATTAGGGCTCGGAAAGGGCTTTTGAAATTGGGTGTTCTCCTCCCAAGGGTCCAAATTAGTGATTTTCCATTGCAATTGGACATGCCTTCTTCAAGCTCAAGCGGTTGGATATTTTTGTGATTTGGGTTAGTTAAAACAAGGCCATGCCACCGTCCTGTGTTCCATTATGCGACACATCAGCCCAAATTTCTCTGCCAACAGACTTTCTTGCCTTGTTGTCTCATCTATCCACTTTTAATACCTTTTAGCTGGAGAAAATAAATATACCAACTTGATAATAGGGTCTAACTAGATATTACTAATGTAGTAATTTAGCCACAACATATATTAACTAAATGTACCAATCTTGTAATTTAGCGTCCAATATCTATGAACACCTTCAAAGACGTACATGTTACTAGCTAAATATATATTGGGTTTTTTTTAAAAAGATATTTTTTGCTAAATAATTAGCAAAACGGTCAGTTTTGCTAATTATTTAGCAAAACCGATCTCTTTTTGGCCAAAAAGAGGTCGGTTTTGCTAAATTAGCTTTTTGAAACATACGGGATGTTTAGTCACCACTAATTGACCACTAAATTTAAGCCACAAAACCCATAGGCCTAGTAGTACCGTGGGTTTTGTTATGACTCCACAACACCCACAAAAAAATCTGTCTCATCAAGAACTCTGCAAGAAACCAGATTCAGCCAAGAACTTAACAGAAGATTTCATCATCCATCCCCTATAGCTTCCTCCTCCAATATTGATCTCCAAATATTAATGAGTCATGCGCTCCTCCGTCAGCCTCTGCACCGGCGTCACCTACGATCGCCGGTCGATCCATCACTGGCTCGTGTCCTGCCACCATGATCCCCCTCCCCTCCACCGACCTAGTCTCCAACCTCACCCTCCGCCGCCTCATCAATGTCTGGTCCAGGGGAAAGGACGATTTTGCCCTTGCCGGCCTCAGCTCCGAGGAGAAGAAGTTGGTCCGTCTCGGAAAGCTCACTGCTTTCTTCGAGGACTGCGATGTCGACGATTCGGTGAAGAATGCAATCTTTAACGCCAGGGATTTTGTCAACATCATCGTTTCTGTTGTGTTGAATGAAGAACTGAATTTGGTGGGAGTTGGGTTAAAGGTTGTGTCTTTGATTTTGAGTTTGGATTGCATTGAAGAAGGAAACAAACAGAGACCGATCTCTGCGCTTTGTTCGAAGTTGGAATCAATTCTGAAATCTCTCAGTGGAGTCATAACAAAACCCACAGAGCTAATAGTCCCATGGGTTTTAAGGTCGCCATTAAGTGACCACTAAACATACGAGACTGCTAGTCCCGTATGTTTCGAATGAGTAGTTTTTTAAAAACGACTTAATTTTGGCCATTCGAATGAGTAGTTTTTTTAAAACGACTTGATTTTGACCTCTTGACCAAAAAGAGGTCGTTTTTGCTAAATAATTAGCAAAACGGTTAGTTTTGCTAATTATTTAGCAAAAAAGATCTTTTTAAAAAAATCCATATATATTTAGTAAAGAAACTTTCTTTTTTTAAGTATTATGTGTTTAACTCTTTATCTGTTTGAGTGGAAACTTTACAAAACTGCCATAAACTATAAGTGATTTCTCACAAGCTACTGTAACCTCCATAGTAGTTATACGATAATACTTGAAAGACCATGGTAGTTTTATAGCTTTATCTGCATATTCATTGCCGTTTTGTTAAGGCATCAACAAAAGCCTATTGAATGTAATTTATGAGTAGTTTTTTTTTTTGGATAGTATGTAGTATTTTCTGCTCATGTGAAAGTTATGCTATTTCTCTCTAATAATATCTTCTGATGCTACTTTTTTACAGTACTCCAAATAGTTCATGATAGTTTCATAAACTTTAGTGGCTGTTTAAAACTCCTGAGCTACGGCACATATAGCGAAAATGATTATATATACTGTATGTATGTTGAACGTGACAAATTTTTTCAACCTAGAATATCTGTAACAGGATTTATTTACACATTTATGTTGCCAACTGATGCGAGTGCACTTTTTTTTTTTGGCCATGTTCCTCCAAACTTTCCTCCTTTGGGCGAACTGCTTTTGCTACTGAAAGGAAGGTGGGGGGGGGGGGGATGGAAAATGATGTTGGCTCGGCCGCCCAGCTCGCCGCGCAGCAACGCAAGAGTGGGGAAACAGGGGGGTGGCCCACCTGTGGGACCCCACACAGGTTGGCCCCACCCCGACACTGGGTCTTCTCGTCTAGGCGTGGCCATCCTCGCCGGCGCCTCCGGAGCTTGGGGCGGCCGCGGACCAAAGCCAGCAACCCCGCGTTAGGGGGATATAAAGATCATCAGTCTTGGCGACTGTTGATGACAACAGTGATTTTCATGATACTGGTACTCTAAAATGTCGTTATTAATTTGAAAAAAAAAATTCACTGTAGATTCAAACCAACTTTTAATTACCAAAACCGACCCATTTTTTTTTAATTACCAAAATCAACCCACTTTATGTCACGTAAGATTAATCCCATTTTCTAATTAGTCGGGGTTGTCAACCCCGACTGTTTAGGAGGTTGTTAAACCCTAATTAGATGCCTTAAACCTAATTTTTAATGCTTTAAACCGTCTGGGTTGGCAACCCCGACTAATTAGGAAATATGATTAAGCTTACGTGGCATAAAATGGATCGATTTTAGTAATTAAAAAAATAGGTCGATTTTGGTAATTAAAAGTTGGTTTGAATCTACAGTGAAATTTTTTTTTCAAATTAATAACGACCTTTTAGAGTACCAGTATCATAACAATTACAGTTTATGAATGCAAATTAAACAATTTGCACTTAAATACTGATAACTTCTTCGAGAAGGTGAGAGAGAAGGAAAAAGATAAAAGCGGTTCAAGATAAGAATAGTTTATAAGTTCATGCCAAAAATAAGAAAGAAAAAATTGTTAGACCCTAGGGGGGATGATTAGGGTCTTATGCTAATCTAATTTTGATTTTATGCCAATTAAATTATATTGATTAATTTGTTCGTGCAAGAGATATATGCGATAGATACGAACAAGAATGTAAAGAAAAATTACAAATTAAATATACGCTAAGCAAACTCGAACACACGATATGTTCACGGAGTTCGGTCAACCACTTAACCTATGTCTCCGCTCCTCACCTCGAGGAGATCTCCACTATCGACACACCCGGTTTGGAAGCCATATATTTTCTATACACTCGGTTTTCTAGTTAACCAACAACCCTACAAAACACTCACAGTGTACATATACAAACTACAACCTCAAGTGTCGGTTCTCACGTATCGCCTCCCTCAAGTGCTCGGGATTACTACCTCTCACTAGGCTTTACAACCGACGTCACTCCTCTCGGTATCGACTACGTCCTCACCAGACACTTCTCTTGGTGTAAATGTGTATACAAAGTGAATCTCACAATAAAGCTCACAAATGCAATAGATCGTTCTCTACAATTGATGAGAACACAATTAAGCTCACTCTCACCCGATCACACGCCACTACCCAATATATTGTATGAAGATATTATAAGCTCAACAAAGGTGTGTGTGATAAAAGCAAATAATAAATTTACAATTCAATTAATATAGCTAAGATATGAATGCGAGTAATGAATCAATAAGCTATATAAAAAAATATGAGTTTAGAAAACTTCTCAATAAACAAGAAGGACTGTAGAATGATGATGAGGATGATATCCTCAATTGGAATTGAATGTTCCTTCTTGTTGTACAAAATCCTCTTTTGAAACAAACCACAAACAAGCTTAAACACTTGTTAAACTCTTTATAAAACTCAATTTAAACAAAATTCTTAGTTATTAGAATGATAGAGGCAACGGGGTATTTATACTCACTCAAGATATCAGTCAAAACCCCATTGAAAAGACCAAAATACCCTCAGATCATCAGGCCAAAAACTAGTCGTTATAACTCAACGGTCAGATCGGTAGTCGACCGTGCAATATCAGCGGTCGACCGCGAGACAGAGAAAAAGCAGGCCAAGTTTCTAAAAACAAGCGGTCGACCGTGACGATCGACCGCGAGAGAGCTCATGCTCTCTGGACTTGCTACGGTCGACCATCACGGTCGACCGCAAGTCATTTCTGGACTACAGGCGGTCAACTGTCACGATCGACCGCAAATTGATATGCATATATTTCAGAAGTCATTTGAAGGCTAATTTTGGCTTCTGGACTACAGGCGGTCAACTGTCACGATCGACCGCAAATTGATATGCATATATTTCAGGTTTTAAACCAGTTTTGCTGACTTTTGAAAACATGTTTAAAATATCAAATGATATCCAAAAATAGTGAAACTTTGGAAAAAGTTTATAAACGTGTAAAAGAACATGTTTCAAAAAGGATTTTTGGAAATGCAATTTTTGTTTGTGAAACATAACTTACTTAAAACAAGAGAATATTTGAGAACCAAACAGAACTTACTTAAAAACATATTTGAGAAGTTTAATAAAGTGAAGATAAGACAAGAGAATATTTATAAATTTATATAAATAATCTTACGCGTGCAATACTCTTTTTTTATACAAGGGTAAAATTAATCTTTGTATATATAACACTTACCTAAACCATCTATCAAAATTCGAGTCCCAAGTCAAGCTACAAGACGACAAACCCTTCCACATCACACAATTGACCTCCATTCCAAACAGGCCACTAAAGTTATTCAACCACAAAAAACCGCTCAACATTTCCGCCCTAGCATTGACAACTTCCCTCCTATTTGCTAAGCATAAGATTAACTTTCCCCCTTTCTTTTTGAAATTTCAATGCATCGATACTTCATTCGTGGTAATCGTCCTAAATCTTCTTTAAATTTTTATTTCTAACTAGCAAAACCAGCTTCATATTTGTACAAAAATCTGCAAATCTATTGATTCAAATGGGGAAGAACACTGTTAATAGAACTAAACTACTCTCATCGCTCATCAACATTGAAAGAGGCCGAGAATCAAAATTGAATGTGTGCGCCATCTTATGAAGATGCATCATCAGGTCTCAGAATTCGGTGGAGTTTCCATCCTCCAAGGCCAGCCAAGGCAAAGGCCTGCATGATAAATAAGAACAGACATAAGCTCTCTGTAATATCACCTAATGATATACTTATATATTAATCACTATAATACACTAATATAATATACATAGTATATACGTATATTATAATATACTATAAGATATATGGGTGTGTGAATGTGGTTAGTGCGGCGGCCGCCTCGGAGCGCCGGTGAGTGAAAAGTGATGGGTATGCCTTTCTGTACCAAACATACTCATTACTTCTGTACTGATGTGCATCCATTGATAATGCAGCCCTTTAGATGCGTAATACGTGACAAGACATACAGCATTGAAATCTATATATAAATCACTTATACTTATATATATAATACAATATGTGTGTGTGTGTTGTGCGCCAGCCGCCTCGCGCGTAAAAAATTGATGATTGACAAAATACTCATTTTTACTTCCGGTCTGATGTGGCATGATATGAGCCTTTTGATTGAAAGTAAGTCGTTACCTTCCAGAGAGAGATTCAACTTTGTGCTTCGGCTACCAGCATACCATATTTCTCATACTTAATACTATCAATTATATAAATAATATTATATATATAGCCTATATATATATAAATATACCTCACCTCCTATATATATATATATATATATACATCATATATAGAGATTAAGCGGTATCCTTTCATAGAGGCGATTTCCTCCTATGCGCCTCTAAAATACACATGATTGAGCAGATCATTGTGGAGATCCTCTTCCGTTGAACTTCGACTTACTATTCTAAAACCCCAACCACACAAGTTGGGTGAAAACCCCGTCAGTCATTTACCTTCTAATCCACTCGTAGTCAATATTTAAACGTTTGAATGAATAGAACTTTCACATGGTTTCATGGAGATCAAACGACGTTCACCCAAAACTTGGCTGTGTTGAGCGTTCTAGAATATGCTAGCATCAAGTTCACACCCGGAGCGGATCATCCACAACTCCAATATGTGATCTTTTAGAGGCGCATAAGAGAGAAATCCTCTCCTCATGACAAGGATACCATTAATTCTCCCTCTCCTCTCTTCTCCTATAGCTAATAATACTATTACCTACTATATACTATATACTAATAAACTACTATCATATATATAATATAGTATAGACTCCATATCAAACCTTAAACTCGTTGATCGTCCACCAAACTTCTGAGCCACTCATTATATTATATAAAAAACCTCTTCATCCATCAAGCACACCGGTACCCCTAGGCAATCAGAAGTCGACCCCTAAAAAAGTTGATGCATAAACTTTTATCACTTTAAGTTGACACAAGTCTTGCCGCCTCTCCGCCCTCTCCCTCTCTCTCTCTCAATATACTATATTATACCTATACTTACTCATACTAGTTATATATATATATAAGAGCAAAACTTCTGTCCAACGTAAGTGGACGTCCACTAAGTTTCTTAATCCATTTTGATATACTTGATTGAGCCTACATTGGTGGATGATCGTCCGTTAACTTGACTCTAACACTATTCTAAAACCCCACACCACCAAACTCAGTTGGTGTGAACCTTGTGTGAGTTTTGACTCACCTCCGTCGAGCCAGTAAAAGTTCTACACATCACTCGAAACCAGTTAAACTCGATACGAGTGATGCAAGGTGTCAAAAACACGACGGATTCACCCCAAATTAGTGTGTTTGGTTTCACGATAATATCCGCTAGATCAAGTCTTGACGGACCGCATCATCCCATCAATGACCGCCAACAAGTGATCATCATAATGATATACAAACTTTAGTGACTCATCTTAAGTTAACATGAAGTTTCATATACCCTATACTACTATCGAACATATTATATCATATATAGAACAAATATCCATACTATATACACACACACGATAATGACATTAACATATGATTGGTGTTCAACTGAAATTAAGTTTGATCATGAAGTTTAGTTTTCAGAATGCGTTCACATCATGATATGGTTTCTAGGTGAGAGGAAAGTAACAGAATGAGCAATAAGTCATTGATTTATCACGCTAGTAGGATTCTCTTTCTCATAGCCAATAAAGTAGCTTAATTTTAGAAAAGTGCAGATTGTATCTGTTTGTGCAACGGTGCAAATTCCGACATATGCGCATAAATCTTGAAATCATAGTTTCCGTAGATTAACTTGTTTCAGCATCATACCATCTTCTACATAATTCGAAGGCCACTGTGGAAGGGTTAAAATCCCATGGCTTTTGTTTAAGTGATATCTTAGCTGAATCTTTGACTGCGTATAGGTTAAGAGTCATTTCCATTATTAATTGATTTGTATTGTTCTGTAGATTCATTTCAACATGATTTCCATAATTAATAGCACTCTGTAGCGTCTAAGCTTGCATATAACTCAGCTGCTTGCTTCCCCACAGGATTAGAAAGCAAAATTGAATTATTTTGTTTGTGTGATCACTCATAAGCATTATTTGAAATATCCCCAACATGGCATTATATATCGGCCGATATTTTTTTACAAGGCTTTCCGAAAAACGACATGATACAAATATCCTTTGCTGCTTGTTAGCAATTTTGGGCCATATATCCTCGACACGTCCAATATATCAGTAGATCTCCTTTTATGTGGCTTGTTCCGAAATAATATATCGTTTTTAGAAATTTTTAGGCAACATGTCATGATTTTCTTAATATACCAAGTGGCATTTCAGTTTAATTAAATGTTACAATGTCAATACAGACTTTTATTTGTTTAAAAGGCTAATTAGTAATCCTAAACATATATTATTTAATATATTCATATGCTTAGATTTCATTAGTTTAAATTACATTTAACACATTATATTATATATGCAAACCATATGATATAGCACTCCGACATTTACTATATATCTTTGACATTTTCCAGTAACCGCAATCCGATATGAATTTTGGTCGTATGATATTTCCCCTCGAATATTCAAAACCTTGCTCATATGTGTTGCATCCTAGTTATATAATTTTGGTGCTACATCAATAACCTTCAATCAACTTCTTTCAATCCATGTTAGTGAACAATAAGAACTTATTTTGACATGAATCAAATCCATTTATCTGGCCCTAATTCTTTAGAAGTGTGTATTTCTACTTTGCTTATCTAGATTAAGTTTTCTAGACATCCAAGAAAAGTGAATAATTCACACAGACAATACCGAACACAAACCTCATTCCATGATTTGCCAGTAGCTTCAAGCAAGGCAGCATTGCATGTCTTCAATTCAATGGGAGAACCCGATAACATTGTGGCAGCTTCCTCCCAGCCCCTATTATGGCCCATGCACCTATGCAGTTAAACTTAAGTCTCAAAAAGTTTGGTAGAATAAATGAAATATGGAAAATAGCTTCTGTTGTCGGAAAGCGTAACATAGTAATCTATCAGAAAATTATATGCTAACATATCATGTGAAGTATAAAGATCTTACATCACTGTAAGAATCTCATCCCTTGAAAACTCGCAGATTATCTTTTGCAGGTGATCTGCAGTTTGTCCATCCATTGCTGCTACCGAATAGAAGCTTGGCACAAAATAAACCTTAGCTTCTGAAAATTCATGCACGTTCTCCTGCATGATTTGAAGAGTTTCTTTTGTTCGAGTGGCATCACTGCAACATGTGAAGCCATATGAATAAACACTTCCAAAATTTTAGAAAATATTTAAGTTCTTCAAGTGCACACACAGCCTAATTATATTAGAATAATAAGAGAGTGGAAAGACATCCTTCATAGCAACGATGGAAGAAGGCAGAGGATTATAGAGGAGAAAATGCCATTTAGTATTACTTAAATGCCTCAAAGAATAATAAAAGAATAATAAAGAAATGCTATAAGCCACGCAGACCCAGAAATATTTTATTTATGGTTAAAAAAGATAAATTGACAACATCTAGGTGACCCCAGGATGCAAAACCAAGCTGATATAGGTTAAACCTCACTCAAGCAAGTTATCCAAGGAAAATTTAATACCCTTGTTCTGGAAAGTTTTATGATGTAATAACCTCTGAAAACGCTTAATCTGACCATATACATCTGTGCAGACTTCAATCTTATATCTTTCTTTCGATCTCTTTTTCTTTCTTGTTCACTTTTATTCTTGCCACACTAATTCTGAATCTAAACAACAGAAAAAAAATTATGCTCGTCTATTTCTGTAGTATCTTCAGGAGTCACATAGCTTAGAATCAAAACATCTATACCTTCATTTCATCATCCGTTCTACTATCCTACGATGCACATGAGTTGTTGAAACAACTCTAGGATACACATCCATTATGTACTAGCTCAAATATGCCAGGATTTGTATAGGATTCACACCGGATACACTAAACCACCATTAAAACTATTTTTAGATAATGGGCATAAACATGAAATCGGTCAAAGACGAGAAAATTTTGCTCCAAACCTACATACATGTTTCCGATTTCAAAATGACTCGTAAAAATGAGGTTCACTGTATCTGCTTACTTTGATTTAGGGTTAGGGAAGATTTGGTAACTTCGGTATAATTTTGATGTAATATGTAACCTTCTACTTTATTGTTTTGATTTGTTAAGGTTAGAATAGTTTATCTAATATGTGACTTTTAGAAATAGTTTATCTAATATGTGACTTTCATGGTTGTTTTTTCATGCTTAATAGTTTGTTGATAATACCTATGATATTTTTTTTTTCATTGCACACATACACAGAACATATTGTTTGTTTTATCCATGCAGAGTTTGTCATTGATTTTTGAAATTTTGTGGCTCTATACATCATAATCTGTATTGTATGTATCATATCCTATCTGACTCATATTTGTATGTATCATATCCTATCTGACTCATATTTGTATTTATGCTGCTACCTAGCTCCTAAGTGGGAAGTATAAGGATCCACACTTCATAGTTAAAATTTTCAATGAATCAGGCAAAAAAAATGTTGCAATTTGGTAAAGACGTGGTGCATCTTTGCAATAGTCTCTCAAGGATTTGAGCCTACATCATAAACTAGTCAAAAACATATATGGTGCATGCCAAGCTTATAACCATGATGTGTTAAGGTTTAATGGTCAGGAGACTACATAGAAATTTCGTTAGCAGTGGTCGCAAGTCAGAATATGTGGCAAACACATTAAGGTTAACTGCAAGACACGTGTTCAATGGAAGCACATTGATGTGAATCAAACAGTTCGGTGGTTGCAATATTTTGTCAAGTACTGTTGTTTAGTATACGTTCAGGGTTTCTTAAATTAAATGAGAGATGGTTAATTGGTTAGTATTTGGGCTCCATAGTTTATTCACTAAACTCAAAGTTACAGAATCCCTAGAGCTATATTCACCAACTATTATATATTATATAACAGGTAAAAGAGTTAGTAGAAAAAGATTCAGAATACCTGTTTTAGCATGACACAGCCTATGAAATTGCTGAAGTTTAATGAGAGTAGACAGCGAATGTGCAGGAAGAGGTTCTTGAGGAGACAGAGGTCGCATAAGTCTCTTACCAGGTCTCACACTCACCCTTACAAAATCTCTCACTCCCCTTTTTATCTATTTGTTTGCACTATTTCTGAATCTGGACCACAAAGCAAACGCTCCCAATTTTTTTTCCCTAGGAGTTGCATACTTGTTTTCCAAAACACGATATAAGAAATTTTTCTCTGAAATCAAGATACAAAGACACAACTACGTGCTTCTTTGTCTAAACTCACTACCATAACATGGATATTCATGAATATTTCAGTTCAAGGTCTGCATCTCGAAGGACCTCGTACGGCAATACCCGAAACTCTATAATATATATTACATGCGGAATGCTAAATTTTTAACCATCTCAAATTCTCAACATACACATTCTTACATTCCTTATAAAGACATTGCGGCATGACATGTGCACCCACAAGAATTAGCATGCGGAAGGACCCGAATTTACAAAGATGTATACGAAAAATGCTGATTTCTAACCAACTCAAACTCTCAGCAGACGCATTCTTAGGTCATCTTATGAAGACATTGGGCCATAATCATTCAATAATTTCTCCAGTAGAATTATCTAACCTGGACAAGACAAGCTCCGGAATCCAATCCATCTGCTTCAACTTCCTGGACACAGCAGCCGCATCAGCTCTCCCCGATTTGCTCAGTGGCCGGTCATGATCTGCCAAAAGCCAAAACGAGCCCTCAGCCTCAACAGCATTAAAACCAAAACCTACAGAAAACACTAACCCTAGCCTCGGCAATAAGTAGGCTGGGTTTACCCCTGAGAAAGCGTCCGGGGGCGTCGCTCTCGGCGTGGCGGAGGAGGATGAGGCGCCGGCGGGGGGCGACG